AGCCTTATAAATATATAGTTTTAAAATGTATAAGATGCATGAAGTACAAATTTATGAATTATTAATTTACGGAATTTCAATTACATTTCAGCCCACTGTGCGCCGTTTGACCTGTTTACATGCCGACGAAAAAGCGTTTGTTTTCCTTTTATTCGTTCCTCAAACACGTCGTCATTCATTACGGTCTTATAAGTTTTTTGTCGTGCCACTCGTCGTGTCATAATCACTTGTTTCGCACGAAAAAGTCTCATGTCGTGCAATGGCTTGCAAAACGCTGGAGAAAACGTTTTACTCGAAACGCTAAATGAACGGGTGCGCGAACAATAGGCTCTACGCAGCCTCGTGTACGTGTACATTTTAACAACGTCGTATTGGCGTCAACGTTCTTTTTTTTTTTTATTATTATTTTTCTTCTTACGAAATGTGTTCATCACTTACCGTTAACGATATTGTTTCGTCGGAAAACCGCATCGGTACCGATGTAATATTTTTTGGCCGCGAAAACGTCGTACTTCAATGATCAGTGGCGGCGAGATGCGGATTTCATTGAAGTAGCTGCTTCATGATTGAAATTGGGCTGGGTAGGTAGTGTTGTCTGATAGAAAATTTTAATACATAATTTGCAAATTTGACATTATAATATTGTAATATATTTGTTTGGGACTCGACAGACGTAACTGCTTCATTGGAAAATTAACTTCGCACCGCCACTGGCGACGATTATCTACCTAGTTTGGTTGTGCGTTCCCGCACCCGCCGTCAATGCCGAATTAAAAGCCGATGCCGCCCTGGAGCAAATAATAATTGCCCCCTACTCCTCAAAGAAATAAGGTTTAAGTGGGACCAAAAAAATACAAAAAATCCTTGTTTCTATGTACAAATTAAAAGAATAAAATACTATTATAAAAAATAGGTACCTAATATAATAATTAATCTACTTATACCAAAAAGTATAAATAAGTATATGTTTAATATCGCAGAATAGTTTTGCAAAGAATTTTTTTAAACTAATGGAGAATAGTGACAAAATACAATTATACTATTATTATATTGGTTCAAAATATACAGTATATATATTAATTTTTAATATTAATGTCAGTTAAAAATAAAAAAAAAATAATATTATTTATTTGTTTTTCAATATTTTTTTCATGGATATAATAGCTATAAGTTTTTGTATTAGTTCTTCTTACTTCATTTCCTCGACCGAATTATATTCTATGCATAAAATTGATAAATTGGACATTTTTTTTGTATTCATGACGATCATAAATAATAGTTTTGAGGCAATTTTATTTATGCCGCTTCACTAAATTTGCTGCCCTGAATCGAATGCTCCTTTTGCACCTAGGTTGATCCAGCTCACGGACCAACGAGTGCGATTAGCGGACGGCATCGATGAGATGATCCCCCGGAAGACACGTTTCCTGACCAGCGGCTTCGCACAAACGTAAGTCGTCCGCCGTAACAATAAACGTAATACGAAATACACCCCCGTATGCGCAGTAGTTTTCGGCTCCAAATCGTTTCGTTCGGGTTCACGGGTTCGTCATGCCCACACCATCCGTTTATCGAACATTAAATCGACGACGTTTTTAATCGGACGACTCTGCGACCGTTGCGAAAGCTTGATTGACATTTGTTAGCGAGTGTTTATTTAACGGTAGTCGATATGGTTTTGCTCGTTGTTCGTAACGGACTCCTGCATTAGCCGCCCTAAGATCAATTGGATAAACAAACGCATTCGAACCGAACGCAGGGACAGCGGTGAACACGACAATGGAAATATAGTAATATTTAAATATTTCTCTTGGAAAATAAAGACGGTTTATTATAACGAGCCTCGTTTTGTATCTCACATGTTCCGTGGCCATTAAAGGCAACAGTAGTATCCGTGAACAACGAAAATAATGTTCTAGACATGTGAAGGTACAATAACGTTCCGCCATAATAATAAATAAAAAAACAACTAAGAATAATATTTATCTTTATCTTTTGTTTTTTATCAAATTTAATATCATTAAAACCTGAATATTATACTACCGAAACGTGTAATTTTATGTTTCACTGTGTGCGTTGTGCGCGCGCGTCGTTCAAATACAAAACAGCGTTACGAAAATGTTATAATATCCCTCGTGGCCCAAATTAGTTTTCGAATATTATTAAATGTTAAAAATGATATATCAACAGTACCGTTAATGTTATACGTGTATTATTTTTCTCGAACTTTTTGTTACGACACGAGTTCGGATCTGAAATATGTTTATTGCTACTTCTATAAAAGGTATACCGCCATTTGTATAGTTTTATTTCCTGGGTGAAAATATCGTTACTTGATGAAACCAAAACGTAAGCGAGTCGGAGTTCTGGAGCGTGTTTTACATTTCTGTTATAAATGTGTTATTGAAATATTACGAGGTACAGTGGCGAGTTTTAAAATTTTTTGCTGGGGAAGAGTGTATATTTCTTCTAAAATATAAGTGATTTTATAATATTGTAAAAAATAAATATGAGGTATAAACTAATGATTATATTATTCTTTTATTATTATTATAAATACAAACGAAGAATTATTTACAACCACATGGTATAAATTAATGTTCTCTTTCTCTGTAACCTTCGTAACAAGTGATTTATAACTTTTAAACTTTCCTACTTGGGGATTCGAGATCCGGTATTCCTCCTGCCTACGGGAATACGAATGGTATTCGTGTCTTGGAACTCGCGCGTATTAAACATGGAATTTTTTCTCGAGTAGGAACTTATGCGCGTACGCACTAGTTGATGATTTTCATCTGCTATGCCTAGTATGCGCACTTATAAACTGCCTCCCCTCCTTAATTATTTATCGTTGACTTACGGCCTGTAATGAAATACCTTTGTATGTGTAATGGTTGGTGATGGGGGTGGGGAGAAAACAATTAAGTCATTTGAGGCTCGTTACGGCTACGGGATTTATTTTCAACGGAATGGCGACGTGAACAGCTGAGCGATTATTTTTTCACATATAATCGATGTGTAGAAAATTATTTTGAATATAATTGGAATAATCAATTATTAACTATACATAAATTAGAATCGATATTAATCGGTCCATAAATCATTATCGATTATAATTGATAGGAGTATACAATCCAAGAATCATTTGTGACAAATAAACTAGTATTTATAATCAATAGTTATACTCATACCAACCACTAATTTCATGGTACCATCGCTGCCGTCTACGATCATGATGTCATACCATACAATTTTCTTCAATATACTTTTTTTTTTTTTCATCTGATTACTCTGTTAAATATTTATATTCCTATATTATTAACTATAAAAATTATCATTTGAAACAATAATTTTATTAAAATGTCAGCTTATTAGATGTGTGCCTTTTTGATAAAAATACGTTGAAACTTAATTGGTATATTCAAAATAGGTATAAGGAATATTCTAATGCATTTTTATTGAAAAATAAAACTTAAAGTACAAAACGTTATTGACTACAAAATAATTTTGTTAGTTGTTTTTCTTTATTGGCCGTCACTGTTGTATTAAATAAACTAATCGTGTTGTCAAATCACATGTTAGTTCAATTCGCATTTGTGAGCAGAAAAACATTACATTTATAAATAAGAGGTTTTATCAATAATAATTTAATTTTGAATATAAACACAAAACCCGTTTATGTTCATATTATTTTAATAGCGGTTAAAGAGGTATTTTAAGCTACAAATATAAATACTTCAACAATATTACAAGTCCATGGCCGTTACGAGAACATTTAATAGTCATATTCGTAAAATATTTTCCATAATTACATACTGTATAAAAAATCTCGATAATGATTAATTTTCGAATATTCTCAATTATAATCCAAGTCAATAAACAATCGACCTTTTCATCTTTTCCATTATATTAATTTGTTTAGTATTGAAAATAATCGATTTAAAATGATCTATTACGTAAAAATAACTGCACAGCCCTAGTGCACGTGTACATGTTTTATATTTCGTCAATCGTCTTGCAGCAAAACTACGGATACAAACGTTAAAAAATTTAGCGCGCGGTAAAGGTAAGTTTTCCAACGACGCGACGGGTTATAAGACACAGGGTTATTAGACACATTAGAAAAAATTCGTCGCGATGACTATCCGTGTTTGTCGGTCGCGCCTTGGAAAACGTACCTTAATGGTGTACCGTGTTTCAGTACACTGCGAGGCGCACTGATATTTGAATCCTATCACAGCTGGAAAAAGCTAGGGGGGGGGACAGATCAGTTGAATATGCGTTTTGAGTAGCAAATTTTAAAATTTCATACGTAATAGACGTTCGAAATCGTTCGATTATATTTCAAGAAAAAAATTCGGTCCGAAATCTTGACCGTGGCCCTCTACCCGGTAACGTAGTCGGACGCAGCGCCAGGGCCGTAGCAAGAGGGTGATGAGAGATGCCTATGCCCCAGGCGCATTCCTGAGAGAGCGCAAAAATTAAAATCTTGCATTTAATGTTAAAAATGACAACGTTCAATGTTGTATATTTTGTTTACTAAATCTTTAACATATTTCATATAAATTAAAGCAATCATTGAAACTAATATCAAATAAGTATATTATTTTTACATAAAAAATACATAAGGGCGCATTTTGAGGTATTTTCCTGGGCGCAATGTTTGGTTGCTACGGCCTTGCGTAGCGCAATCGTGCAAAGAGTCAGCCCGAATACGACCGCGGTACCCGGACACGTCCTGCGGCGCGAACGATACGCACGGCGGCGCAGCGTCCCGACCGTTTTAAGGGGGAATCAAAGGGAACGATTGCCTTGGGGCACCGTAGTTTTGTAAAAGTAAGGAGGCGCCCTTATCTGTACTTAACACGCTACCTGTGCCCCAGTGGCTCCGAAGAAAAAATTTTGCCCGTCGGCGCTGAAATGTTTGGACATGGCTGTGCCGACATGCGACGATATCATCGAAAAATAAAAAAAAAAACAGCATTCGAATGCATCGAGTATTATTGTTGTTATTCATTTATTGTAATAATTAATATGTACAACGGACGGACGTCGCCGGGGCTCGTTACGCGGGTAGGTAGTTGGTAGTACGGCGTAGCGATGACGGGGCGACCGGATGTCGATTGGACGACGTGACGTGTTACTCCATTCCTCCTCGCACCGCACCACCGCGTCCAGGGGTCTAAAGGCACAGCTCCTCCAGATCCGAATGGCTGCCGCACTTGACCAACGTGATCTTGCCCGACTTGTACACGTACATGTCTAGCTCGTCCCGCCTGGGCGAGTTGTCCGTGGCCGTTGCGCCGTTCACGTTCGTCCGGTGGGTGCGCGTAGAGTACCCTCTCTTCCATTCCGACACCGTGGTCGATCGCACCGAAGCGGACCGGCCGTGGTTCGCGTTCGACTTTCCGAAACGTCCACGCCGGAAGTGCCGCAGTTTGAGGCGGAACTCGCGTTTGAATTTCTCCTGCAAACCAAAAACGTTATCGCTCTCTCTCTCACTCTCTTTCTCGTTATCTCTCCCGATAACGTTATCGGATGTAAACGGGATGCGCCCACCGATTCGGAGAGACTGGGAGCGATGGGAGTGAAACGAGGGTTGCCGACCGTTCGACGCAAAAATGTGAAAAAGTGCCTCGTCAAAATGAACAATATTCGGAATCATGGGCGCCCGCGGGGAATTTATCAGAAGGTATAATTAAACCAAACACTTAAAAGTATATTAAAAAATGTATTCTTAGCAAACCGTAAAATATGTCAGAATTATACCAGCTTTAGTCGTTATTAAATAAAAACCAAAGTCTTTGAAGTTGTTCGATTTCAAACCGCGCCATTAACCGTTCAATGAATTTTTCCAGGGGGGGGGGGGGAAATGACCCATGTTGCATCTTTTGGGCGCCCATGTTCGGATTTATGGCGGGTGAACAGAAGGGTTCGTGCGCCGGAATACGTTGCGCAACGCAACCTGTGGTCCGAGGACGCCCGAGGGTCGACGTTATGGGATCGGCGGTTTAAAGCGAGAACATCAAGCAACCAAGGGTTAACCTGAGTGAGATTACGAACACAGGTTATGGGCGATTACATACACGCGGCTCGTACAATTCAAGCGCAACGACTGATTCAAATAACTCGTTATTAAATCGCAATAAAGAAGTTGTAAATATAATATGAATAAAGCGTGCCACCTGAAATATATCTTTTTTACGTACAGTATTTTTTGTGAACATTTGAATTCATATTATTACAAAAGGGTGTGTAAAATCAAAAGGAATCGTAAAAAACGTCTTTCTTCCTAAGCAAGTACAAAAAATGGACCGTATTATACAAAAAAGGGTCCTCAGATCAATTTTAGTTTCTGCTAGGGTATCCACGACTGTACTATTTGGGATCCTCGTCCCGCAGCCCAATATGTTCTTGACCATCTTTCTTCTGTTAATTGCCACATTCCGTCATATTTTTAAAAGTTATACTACCACTTTCCGTGCACTTAATCATCACTTAACATCGTTTCATCATTCGGGTGAAACCCTGTTTGTTTCGTAATGCCGACAACGTAATTTATAGTGTCTTTTCAACTTGGTACCAGCCTATGGTTTTATATTTATTTAGAATTCTATGCAGTGATGACTTGTGCTATGGTGCAAAGGAGCATGAGAACCATCCAAAAAAATGTTATAAAAATTATTTGGTTCCTATTGTAAATTATAATTGGTTATTGTTGTGCATAATATTGCGTAAAAATTGGTAAAGTCAAGTTGAAGATTTTAAATCGTTTCAATGTATTTTCTATAAGTTAAATAGATAATATTTCATTAGGTGTATTAGCTGATGACCAATTATATATGCTGTATTTTCACAAAAATATTTATATATCTTGAAGGGGGGAAAAAATGAGTGAAAAGCTATAATTTTCTTGGAAAGTGTATATATAAGTGAATCGAAATCGTAGAGTTTTACATATTTAATATACGAGTAAGTTAGGTTATCTATCAGTACTGTTGGTTGTTATAAGGTAACTTTTAGTAATTATTATAATCAAGACTCTGACTTTATGCATTAAAATGTACTTAAATATGCGTTTGCTATTCCTTTAAAAACCATCATAATATGTAGCATAATATGAAAGGATGGGCAAATAAATGATTTTTTTAAAGTTATTTTAAAATAATAAAGTTAAGTTAAATTAAAATTTACTTATACTTTTTTCGTTAACTCGTCAAGTTAAAAGTTAACTTTGAAAAAAGTAACGTAATTTAAAGTTAAGTTACTTTTTTTACTTAATGTAAAGTTAACATTTTCTAATTTGTAAAAATTGCATACATAATATTAGTTTTTTTACTCTCAAGAAAAATACTGGAGAAATTTAAAATGATACATAAAAGTATTAACTAGCTATAAAAAAACCTACTTTTCTAAAATAAATCTTAGTCCTGAACTCATATTCAAATCAGTTTACCCAAGTAGTACATTAAAAAATTAAAAGAAAAAAAAAAACACCATTGATAGTTTTCGTCTAACTGTTAAGATACCAATATTTTTTATTGATTCACACAAATTTTAAAAGTTAAACAGGTAGTACCTACTACCCAAATATATTTTCTATACTGAGTAGACAAAATGCAGCCATCGTGTAGTTCAAAAGACTAGGCTCAGCACAACATGGACAATTATTATCAGTCTAAATATAATTACTTTGTATTATATACCTATTATGGAATATAAAAATAACTGTACATTTAAAATAGTTAATTATTTTTATAGAAGTTGTCTTTACAAACTTATGAATTATCATATTATGCAATTATTTGAAGTTTACCAATTTTGTACTTCCAATGTTGCTAAACATGGTAAATAATAAAAAATTTGAGTCATGGCTACAGCAATCATTATTGAAAATCACCACATATCATTTAGGTAACATAAATAAGATAATCAATAATCTAATTTATGTGGCTATGTAGCATATATGTGTAATTAGATATGAACGTGATGTGAACAAAATACATACTATAGTACTAACTATATTTGAATAATGAAATATTATTGGAAATTATACCACAGTTGTTTTGTGATTATTCCCCCATCGACATTCGCTCTCATGGTATTTACTATTTTCATAGAATATTCTAAGAATTTCCATGGGCTTATAGTGTTTATACAATAACAATGTAATAAAAATATATTTATAAAATATAGCCCATATAATGATTATTAAAGTTATTTTTCATATTATTTTTGTCTAGAGGAAATTCATAATAAAATAGTAAATTATAAATATACTAAAAACCTCATTTAACCATTTAACCCGTCATTGGTTGCGCGGGGTAAATAATCTCCCATTCTATTAATAAATATATATATCCACTCATTATCTGCAAAACGGATTTGTAATTCTGAGTAGCTCATCAAAATCACACCATTATTCGATAATAAATTTATTTCATTGAAAACTAGTTTAGTTTTTTGTACACACCCGTGTAAAGAAAAATTTATCTGTTTAAAGAATATTTAACACACGCGATTGAACGTTTATTTCAAATGACTAAATGTAGAAAAAAAATCACGCGACCAGCGACGGGTTAATAATTTGCATTATTCTTTGCACTAAAATTAATTTAATTTAGATACTTTTAAATAAAATTAATTTTAAGTTAACACGTTAATCTTAAAAAAAAAGTAACTTATTAAGTTAAATTTAATTTGTAAAAAAGTAACGAGTTAATTAACTTAATTCAAATTAACTTAACGTTTCAACTTAATTTTAACTTTTAACTCGTTACCGCCCAGCATTGATAATATGTAGTTAAATTTTTAAATATATGCAAAAATATGCAATTTATTGAATAAAATACAATTTACATAAATTGTGTAGATAGAAAAAATAAAAAAAAATAAACTCTGCACACTTGTATACTGTTGTGTCTTTTTGTTATACAAGTTACACAATCTTTATCAAACCTTTATCTTTTTGAATATAAATATGTAAATACTGATAACTATCACTTTATATTATGGTACAATGATTTGGTAAATTTAAGTAAAAATTAATTCGGCTCGATTGGCAATCACTATTACGATTTCTCAATAAAATAGAGGTTATAATATTATTGTTAAGTGCATTGGGAGCATTACTTAACTAATCATTGATCAATTAATTTTGTCAAACGATATAAAATGTAGAATTTTGGTTGTTATATATCTAATATTTTTTGTTAAACTATAAATTTGTAAAAAAAATATATTTCGGTAAATTTACGAAATATTCATGTAACCTTTCTTAAACTTAAAATATGCGAATTCATACAAAAAATAATGAAGTATGCAAAATTATGCAACAACAATTTTTGTATTTAAAATCTGCGTACTATGGATCGAATTTTTATCGAACCAGAATTTCAATATGCACTTTCTTCTAAACAAATATGAAAAATGCTAAAGTTCCGAGCATTGTTTATAATCAGCATTTTTTATTATTCATTTACTATTTTGCATATTATTACACAGCCGGGGGAGCTAGCTCACTTAATTATTATCGATTCGAATCAATAATAAAGTGCAAAGTATTAATTGCAAAATAATTAACAGTACGTGCAATTAATGCAGTACTGATGTTAATATTAAGAAGGTCGCTAATAAATAATTGATCAATTTATCGAGAAAAATTCCGATATTGGTGTTTAAATTATTTTTTTATTAAAAAAAAAAGTTCTAATGAATTTCCGTTATTAATGTTTAATGTTCGACGTTCAGACTAGGCCTGTGTATATCTAAATATTTAAATGATACCCACACACATGCGCGTGAGACCTCTCACACACAATCATCCACACATATACACATTTAAAAACATTCACCCACTTACAAAGTAAACTTTATTTTTTTTTTAGTATTGGCTAAGACAACTCTTTGGCTCACACAAATTTATAGTGATGTCACTAATTGACAATTAAAAATGTTCGTCTCCGGGACAGGTGCCACTTATCAAATTTTGAAAATTCCGAAAATAATTGGATCAGTCATTTTAATGTATTTTTTTATGAGTTATATATATATATTTAATACGAACAAATTTGATGAATGATTTTCGAACGATCCAAAACGAAATTGATTTCAGATATAATTTAGTACCCAAAAAATGAAGATTTATGAGTTAGATGGGCTACTGTAAACGCTCTAATTGAATCAACAAATACTTTTTTAATCTTTAAAAAACTCGAAAAAAAAACAACTCAAAGAAGAAAAGATAGTTTTGTCAATACAAGTATTCTTTTCTTCTGCATTGAAGTATTTATCCAGTTATTGAAATTGACGTATAAAAATATTGCTATAGGATAGATATTTTCTGCTTTATTCTGGGTATATTATTTAATAATATAAATGTGCAACACTTTGATATTTCCTTGAAAATTAATTATTTTATAATTAATGGTACTCACGTTATATATTCCATAGATAAAAGGGTTGTAACAGCTGTTGCTCATTGCTAACCAGTCGCAACAGAAGAATACGATGTTGATGTAACGAAACCTAAAACAATGTTCATTTTAAAAATGTTTGCACTTTGAGAAATTGAAATATCAAGAGAATGCTTTACTGATTGATTGATGGAAATATGTCTTGAAGCACATTATATGTTTGCAATGGTAGCCAACATAGCACGAAAAGTCCGACAACAATAACCAACATTTTTATCACCTGAAAACAAACCATTAAACATTTTTTTTTTCACAAACCTTAGTATTTAATCTTTAATTTATCATTAAATATAATATTATGTTCGTATTGTTTAATAATAATAATATCGTCACAGAATTACATTTGATACTAAAGTGTTTCAGATTGGATTTGGTTTCAAAATAGTTTATTTAATTTATTTATAAAAACAATATGTTATGAAAAAACTAATTCATTTGAATAATAATAGCTAATTTAATATGTTCAACAATAAGTTTTAAGTATCGAAAGTTTTTTACTAAAGTCAACTTGGTGTGTCTTCATGCGAAAGAGGTATTTATTGCTCCTGTTCACTTGCGGAATCTTGAAGTTTTTTGGACGTTTAAAAATATTAGATATTTATTTACTGGCAATACATATACATATATAATAGTAGTGGATCGAATTGTTCGAATTTTGAACCCAACTGAACTGAACGCTTAACGTTCGGTTGAGCTCGAAATTCAAATTCTGTATGAAAAAAATTCGTTCCGAACTATCAAGCATCTGGTACGGTTCAAAATCGAACTTGTAAATATTTGTCAAACCAAACCTACCGGCCATGATAGGTTGAAGACCAAATTATAATTTTGAAAAACAATTTTTAAAATACTTCAAAATTTATTTTTAAAAATGTTAAAAGTTTTTGTTTTATTTATAATGACTAGGTATTGAGGAATAATACTAGAGAGACTAGAGATGTATCGTTCATGAACGAACTAGTTCAATTGAACTACTCAGCAAAGGGAAAGATTCGAACTAGTTCACATTTAGATGAACGACATCGTTAGATTCGTTCAATTGTTCATTGTTCACTCTATACAGTACACCTTCACTACTGCCAAATGAAGATTAACCTCAACATTTTTTCGTACATCTTTTTTTTTAGTACTTTCATTGAACTATAAATATTGTTTTTGATCAACCATTAATAATATGTAACTTCTTAAAAACCAACATATTATCTATCATTGTAGTTTTTTATATAAATTATAACAAATTAATAAAACCGTTCATTGAACTATAATAATACATATTTATTCGTTCAGTCAGTCAGTTAAATCGTTCATTGAACTACTGAAATTTGATGAACGATGATTGAACTAGTTTATCTAAGCGAACGATTAGTTCCATAACTAAAATAGATTATAGAGGCTACGAGGTGTGGAATACTTACCAGTATTGATTTATATTTTAATCATATTTATTGTAACGAGAAAAATCGATTTTGGGATAACCTAAAGAATTGTTCTGTTTCTGTGGTTGATTTACTTTTAAAAACATTATTTATTTAAAATCATTATTATTTATTCAATATTTCTATGTATTATGAATTTTTTTTATTATACTGATTGCACAGTTATAAATATTTAATTAAAAAATTGGTTACATTCGGTTGATCTGAACTATAGAAACTACGACTACTATGGTATTTGGCCGTTTCATTTTTCAATTTATTGAAAAAATTAAGTTTAAGTTCAAGGTCGATTTGAAATTCTTCCTGGTTTGATTCGGTTAGACAAAAAATATAAAGGTTTGGTTAGTAAAGCGGCGTTTTTATTTAGAAGTTATATAATATTAAATGTCTATGTTTTTAATGTATTGAAGTTTATTTATTTCATTATTTAGTAATACTGATCACCTTATACTAACATACAACAAAAGGTATAGTTGACATATATTTACAAAGAAGTAATGTAAGGTTATTAAAAGTTAAATAACTGTATTAACTAGTTGATATGTAAATATATATTTGCCCCCCTCCCTATTAAATTTCTTATTTATGCTCATGGGTCCATCAGATATATTTACACAAAGAAACATATATGTATATATAAACAGGATGAGAAAAAAGTATAGAAAAATATACTGGCAACCAACATATCTCACGTGTATATTAATACTTATAAATTTCATGTTGTTATACTTGTTTGGTTGCCTTTCTTACAATTTTTGCTGACTTAGTATTTCTATAATTTTAGTTTGGCTTTTGTAACTAATATAATCGAAATTCATAGAATAGTTTTAGTTATTTAATTACGGTTTGTATTTTATGAATTTTATATGAAAATTATTGACAACTTGGTGTACTTAAACATAAAAATTAAGAGACGATAAATGATGACACACTAAACAAAATAGATTTAAATTAATTAATCTTTCAGATAAACGTGGTTAAAAACTAATTGTTCTTTTGGATTGGTACATTGTTTCTTGAACAGTGTATATAATCGGTAATAAAGATACATAATGTATTGAACCTACAGAATAGAATACCAAACATTCGAAAAGTGTAAAAATCAAAAATGTAAATTCGTTCAAAACTTATTATGTGAGTTTGTTGGAATTTATTATATATATATGTATTAATTTCCGTATATCTATTCAATGTGGAAATAATTCAGTTTCAAAACAGTCGATTTTGATTCATCGGTCTGTAGCCGGTAGGTATTTGACAAAGTATGTTGGAAATGCAGCATGCCGTTCCTTTTGTGACTTTTAACAAATTATTTACCATCAAAAGTGAATTAATTCACTATACACAAGGACCTTGGTTGATTCGAATGAATATTTAGCTTTTTATGGAATCATTGTACAGGAATGACTTAAGGTTTTTAAAAAATAACAAATCGCGTTTAATTTTCAAACATAAGTATTGTTTCCGAAATGTATATTTAATGAGGTTCAGAAGCGCAAAACTCCCGTTTTATTCTATAATTCGCTATTATTTCAAAGAGACTAATGATGTTGTTATAAGTTGTGTTCTCTGTTGATGATCCGATATCATCTATTGAACAATAATCTTTTAATTTATTAAATATCTAAATTGAAATCGTTATAAAACGTTGGGACTTGAGGTTGAACGAAGCAGATCTATTGATCATACAGATGTGTTTTTTTTCAATATTTTTCAAAAAACTACTTTTCGGTACGGCAGTCATAAGCGGTGCACACATTGTTCTGACATTTGGAATGAACGAAAAGTTGAATGGTCATTATATTTATTATTCTCTGGTATGGTAAAAAAAAAAAAAATCGTGCGAGTGCCTTTGTACTCGCGAATGATGTGTAAACATCTTAGCTGTAGTACGACTTTGATTGGGGAATATAATGTCATGGTTTGAGTGGGAATTTGTATAATAAGGTAACAATAATCATACAAGATCGCGTTCTCTTTAAAATTTATATTTCTTCAATATCTTTTACACATGTAATTATTGGTTTATGGTAGCTGATGTATAAATTTCTAATTTTGTAACATTTAAAAATCGCGAGAATACACCGTCTAGTGTAGTTTTGTAGTTGGTACTCGGAATACTTCGAGCGGTACTCATCGTTAGACTGTACCGGAGCGCGTTCGCACGTACCGGACGCGTGTTTAGCGTGCGACTAACACGGCGCGGTGTACCGGTGTCGGTACCAGTTGTACGGAGTAGTAATGCGAGTAGTGAATACGACGACGACCGTGTTGGCAGCACACCGTACGAATTGCTACACCACTCCGCCCGGCGATCGCCTCTACGCGCGTGACGTCCGCCGCCGCCGCCGCGTAAATTGGGTAGCCTGCGCGAAGAACGTGCGCAATAGCCTCACACACACACACTCAAGCAGTCACATCTACATAACTTACGCCTGACGCTCGATTCCCTAAGAAGGTCGTACTACAAACTAGTGATGGGAATAATCGAGTGATTTCGATAATCGAGATATTATAGTAATAGAGTAATTCACTCGATTAAAATAATCGAGCGAATAGTAATCGAGATATTCGAGTAATTCAC